AAAAATTTCTGCGAAAAATTGTTTAATTTTATAATATCATATCGCATTACTTTATATGTGTAATTATATTATTTTAATTACTTTTTGCACATTAATATTCATATACAATATTCTACATAATTAATACATGCGAATACTGAAGCGTTACTCCATGAAAATTTATATTTCTGCTAATTTACTTCGCTTCTTTATTAATAAAACATAATTAACGCGATTTTTGTGATATATTAATCATAAGCGATACTGCGTAAGCGGATTGTATAATATTAAAATTTCCTAGATCTGCTTCCTAGATTTACTTAATCCACGTTTTAGCATGATATAGAAACACGAGCGCGTCCGACTTAATACTGAGAACGATATATCATATTCCTAGATAGGAGGAATATCGCTCCTGCGACACGCATAATCGTACTAATTATAGTGATTTAACGCGCACGTTATTAAACTTGCCCGTCCAAGAAGGATGGTCCTTAATATCACGTGATGGGAGACTGTACATCACTGACAAGTCCAGACTCTGGGAATTCGCTATCAATCTTCCCTGAATGTGAATGTTCTCGTATAAGAGAATCGTCTTGTGACAAACACCAAATTCTCAGTAGAATATCTACATCTATAAATTTTCAATTTCAACAAGTTTACTTTATCAAATATTTTTCTATAATAAACAAATTTCAAGCATTTGTCAAATTTAAATTAGCATCAATAAATAATAATTTTTTCTTGCAACAAAAATTAAAATATCGATACTCTTCGAGAATTCATACTATCGCATTTTTTCTTGTTATTTAGTATTTGTAATATGTATCTACGATCAATATTTATACATCCCATATTTTTATTTACTAATAAATAATAATTTAATGATAAAAATATAGAATTTATTTATTTTATAATAATTATAATAGCCCCATTTGTTATTCATAAAACTTAAACATATGTTAGTAATTTAAAACATACGTTATAATTTTACCTCTAAAACCTTCGCGACATGTTAACATCGTTATATATTCGCTAACGAGAGCCTTAAATGAATTCGGATGAGCATTAGGACGGATTAATATCCTCCTTTACCCTTTTAATTCCGGCATTCCCGCTGGACCTTATCTTGCCTGCCAGCATCCCCGACTGCGGTACAGAGCCCGTAAACGCGTCTGACTTAATGCGGGGCTGCGATATATCGAGGCAGCGAGGCGTACGCGAAATGCACTACTGCTCTATTGGAGCCCGGAACCGGAAGCGACGTAGAAACATATGCTCGCAAAATGCGCACAAGCGCAATGTGGCTGTAAAGCTCGCTACAGGGTGACCTAAAAGCATCTGGCATATACTCGGATATACACTAATATTGCAGTGAGAGTTAAAAATGCGAAATGCAGAAAGTTAATACTTAAAGTTCAAGATTTTATCTTTTTGATAGTAGATAAAATTAGCAATATAATATTCTTCCTCTTGTTATTTCAAAATTCTGCTTTTTTATAATAATATTATAATTATAATAATTCTCTCTTGTATTAAATCTTCGTAATTTAGAATATTTCTGTTAATATATTATACAATATAATATAAAATCTATATTATGCGCTATTCCTAAAACTTTACTTTTAAAATGATAATAAGTTCTACTCACTTTTTATCATAATATAAATCTTTTCTTTTGCAATTTGTATATTTTTATTTTTTATACAAAAATTTTTTAATTTTACAGAGATGTAGGAAAGAAAAATTTAAACTTTTTGTCTGTCAACATATATTTTTTCTATATATTTGTAAGCCTTCTATATTGCTCCCTTTTTCTTCTACTAAAATATGACTATAAAATATTTTCTACAGTTTTACTATTTCCGTCTCAATTTTGCTGTACGCTTTCTACATTCTTCATTTTGCTTTTACTCGCCTCAAAGTAATATACCGATTTTTCCCTTCTTCTCTTGTTCTATTGCCTTCATTTTCTTTTATCTTCTTCGATTTCCACGGAAACGAGCACTGTCTGTCGAAAATGTTTGAAATCAAAACTAAAAATATGCAAGAGGTCTCGCGGGTTGAATTTATTTTTCTCCTCTCTTTAAATCCAAGTCGAGTAACAATAAGGCCGAATTGCTTCGTGACGGCTGCGAGATTGCAACCGACGGAGATTTATCTCTCTCACGCGTTATGACAGGATTTCTTCGTTCCTAATAAACTTTTCTCCCCTGACTATCACGTCTGTCTCGTTGACAGAAAACGGTCGTTATTAATATTCTATCTTGTCAGACTTTGCAATTTCAAAGAAATAAGAATGTCAAGTCGTTTTATGAATACCGTTGCTTATCAGCGATGCTAATTTATCGTCAACCGTATATTTATAAAAGTATAATATATTAATCTACTTGATATGCGCATATTTAATGCTTAAATGTATAACGAAAAGTTTTTGATATATAATTCTGCACGATTATCATAAGTTTACTTCAAGCTTAAAGTCGAGCGAAAATTCGCTCAACATCCGATATTGCGCGTAAATTTGTCTTTAACACAAGACAAGACCACAATTAAGGGTCGCGCGAAAGGGTGGCTTATGTTGGAGGGATGGCGCTCCGAGCTCACAACATTTAACACGTCCGCTCTTTCGGTGCGGTGAATCCTTTTTTCTTCCCGCCTCCCGTGTGTATAGCAAGATATACTACTCTCGGTGGTAAACAAGCCTCGCCCCTGTTCACGGTCACGAAATTTAGCACCTCATCGAAAAACCACTGACTCGACTAAACCTCCGATTTCCTCCCCTTTTCTTTTCGCTCGCGCGCGAAATTATCGTAGTATTTCCGGTTTATTTACTTTTCACTCATTCTTTTAACCAGCGTGCGCAATTTATCGATAGAATAAAGTTTAAGTGCCAATTAGTGTGACTTTTCGAGGATTAAAAAATCCGCAGGAAATATCTTTTATACATTTTATATTCCTCGGTTATTATTTCTCATAGATACATAATAGTAATGAAGCAAAAGAAATAAAAAACAATTTCAGATGTGCACATTTTATTTCATCAAAAGTAAATAAAATCTAAATTAAAATCGCAATATTTGTTAGAATCATGAATATTCTTAATTTTAAAATTAAATTTGTTACATCTGAATTGATTATTTAAATTACAGAAAAAGAGATAAGATTAATTTTCTTTGTATCATTTCAAAATTCGAATTCAAATATCGCATTCTATTCAGCTGGAATTCTCTTTACTTTCATGAAAAGATCCAGCAAGATAAATATTCTTTTGTAATACTCACAACACATGTAAGATCAAATATCGCTTCGGACCGATACGATGGGTAACAATTGAGGAGATTACTGTGCTTCGCTTATTTTTGAAACAGAACATTTTCAGAACAAACCGCATTCTGTAGAAGCCTCAAAGAATCAAAGACCACGATTTGCAATAGCTTCCGGCATTACTATTGCGGCGAATAACATTTGCCTAAAAAGATTCTTGTTTCTCCGTGGATTTTCTCAATGTGCTTTCTCTCTTCCTATCTCGTTCTCTGTTTTTATCTCTAATTACGATGATAACGAAAAAAAAATGCACAGCTACAGGTGCGGCGTATCTTTCTTTCATTTAAAAACGGAGAAACGCAAGCTTGTTCCTTCGTTGCTAAACCTAGAAGAGTTTCTTTCTGTTTGCTTCTTTCAAAGCAAACATGGTATATACATGCTTTTCATTTCCGCTGAAAGAATGCAATAAAATTTGCAGTGAATAATATCCGTGGCTTTTTTGCGACTGACGACTCATATTATACACGATGTTCTTCGCTGTTTTCTTTTATACGTCGCGATTACGCAGCTAGTAATTAAACTCGAGCACCGCAACGTGCTTAATAAAAGTCGACGAAAATATTTGTTAAATGTCTTCATAAAGAACTTATTATATACAGAATATTTTATAAAAATAGAAATTATGATAACTTACATATAATATTTTCGAACAAATTTTCGAAAAACTTTTTTTATAGGAAAAACTGTGCAAAGGTCAATTCAAGAGATTTTAACATCTAAAGTCATGAGAATAAATGAGAAATACTTTTAGTGCGAATCTTCTAGTCGCCTACAGTCACGCTTCAAAAAGTTCAACGTGTAATTAAAATTTGAAAACTGGAATGCCACTAATTTCCACTTTGAGTTACCGAACGATGCTGCTCTCCGTCTTTTCGCGACCGTCCACGACATAATCACTTAAGAGAAATCCGAAACGCTTTGTCCCGTTTGTCAGTAATCGAGATTCGCCCAATTCTCCGGGAGAATTCAAATGGCGATGTTAGGCATCTTGGAGTGCCGGCACGTCTGACATCGCTCTCCGGATGTTCCCGGCGAAACGAGGAAAAGGACGGACGAGAAAGGATTCCGGATTCTTTCGCGTTTCGCAACGAACTCGCCGGAGCTTAATTAAAGATGATTTAAGCGTGGAACGTTAGACGAAGGAAGTCTCAACGAAAGCCGGCTTTCTTACCGAGTAAAAATGAAATGGAATTTCGTTTCTCGCTGGCGGAAGGACTGAAAACAGCCACCAAAATTCACACCTCGGCGGATTCGAGATGCATCTCACAGCATGTCTTTATGTATGGGATGATCCGGGAAATATAAATATTTTGTTGGTGAATTATCTAGAGATAATTTTAAGTGAAAAATATTATATTAACCTGACATTTTTCGAACCTCGAGAAATTACATGCCATACGACACACACGTTTCTCATTTAGCATTATATTTATATTTTACTTTTGAATCACACTATATTCGCAGTATGGCTATAAATCATGTATTATTAGGCTTCATGCAGTTGCATTTTCGAGAAATTGCAGTAGATGTAATAACAGCGATATTTAACTTCTTCGTGTACAATTTCTAAGACCAGTCGGAAAATTGTCTTTATGCAAATATGCAAGAAAGCTACAATAAATAGACGAGAGATAGAGAGAGAGAGAGAGAGAGAGAGAGAGAGAGAAAGAGAGTGAGAGCTACAAACTTACCTGTACTCCTCCAGCTCCCACGATGAAGAATAGCTGAACCATAAAAAGGGCTGCCAAAAGATTCATCAAGGTCGTTCCTGCCAGGCTTCTTAAGTCGGAGAAGAGGCTGAAACACAAACACAACCAAATAATTAGTAAAAAAATTTAGAACAAATATGGCATTAAAATTTCTTTAAATTATAAAAGAAACATAATCATTAGACAAAGCTTGTAATAGTATATATCAAACAATAATTTTCATATTTTAAATTAAACAATAATTTAACACTCTTAAAAATGCGTACTAATAACTAAAGTACTTGAAACATAGAAATATTGTATCCTTTTATGAAGTCAAAATTTCTTTAGATTGCAAGAGAAAAAATAACTCTAATACAAATTTTGTAATATAATAAATTAAAAAAATAATTTCCATACTTTAATTTCACACACACAGTTAAACAATCATTTAAAATTCTTGAAAAATTTCTAACGTAAGAATAACTAAAGAAAAATACTTGATGCAGAAAATATCGTATCTTTTTATATGGTACAATAATAAAGAGGTCATATAAAAAATCGAAGGGTTGCTCGAAATCACAATAAATTATTCTCGCTAGAACAATAACGTTATATATAGGAGTGGAATTATAGAAGTAAAAGAAAGAATGAATGTAGGGCATTACATCCACGCGATAGCACTCGCACATGGAAGAGATCCTAATATCGCATGAATCAAATGTTCTCACGATCAAACTGTGAGAAATTTGATGAGCAAATAATAAATGATAAATTATCTACTTACAACTCCCGACTCTCCTCCTCCTCTCAATAATCTATCGAAGGCTGCTCCTTCATGACTCATTCGCGAAAATACGATTATGATAACGCGAGCAATAATCTTCAAGACAATCATACCGTACTTTTACAAACAAATCATTTGATAAATCGTACAATTTTGTTAGCTATAAATCAACTATTCTTTGGATACTGTAAAAAGCCAGACAACGACAACGGAAGAAAATCAAAAACTACGCAATTAACTTTTCGCGTTCATCCGCCGCGATTGTTTGATTAACAAATTTGAAATAATTTATTTTCTTATAATATCTACTTTTAGCGCGATTACAATTTTCGAATCGAATTACGTGACGATTAAACATGGAACAATTTCCATCGCGTCTCGTCTATTTGAAAGTCCTTGAGCGAATGATAGCAAGATCACAGCGCCCAAACACCTCGCGTACGCCGTAACGTAGTACAAACAAAAACAAAGCGCGCTACAAGCTAGCATCAACACACTTGGCACGATAAGAATGAAATATTCAATATATTACGAGATAATGTATATATATCCTGTGTATATAAAATTTTATTTTCAAACGACGAACGAATTATTATTTTTATCTGTTACATATTTGTTTTATAAATTCATTAGCTTAAAGATTAAATTTAGTCGATTTTTTGGTTATCAGCGACAAAAAAGAGCTATAACTCCGTAAATATTCGTTGTCCGCTATATGTTTATAGGACCAAAGTTGCTTGTCTCAACGAGACGCATCGACGTGGGTACTCGGTTTCAACCAAAAAATGGTGGCGACCTATAACCCCCAACACGCCAAATTTTTTCAAAAATTTACGAATTTCGAAAAACCGCCTGGTGGAATTGAAAGATATCTCAATACCCTGCCAATAAGGTCCTATGGTCCGATCTTCTATTTCCTATAGTTTCCGAGTTACAGGCCCCGATTTAATCAGGATCCTCAGTGTGATTATGAAATTTATTAATTATTATTATTTTTGTGAGGCAGCTAGAGGATTCACTACAGTAAAATTAGTACCTAAAAAAATAAATTTTAAAATACAACTTTATATAATTGTAGTAAGGTATGTTTTCTTTATGTTTCTTTTTTTTAATATTGTTGTGATATTTCAAATATTATCTCGCATTATAATGTATTATCATCAAAAAAAGAAATTCAAGACTCAAGTTATTTAATAATATAAGGTATTGAGATGGTACGTGCCAAAAACATCGCAACACGATGATAAAATAAAATCCAATAATCTGTATTTCGTTTAGCCTCGTTATGTATTACATACTATACAATCAATATGCTATGTTAAATAAAAATATATAAACTTTATCGAAATTATTTGTATTACACATTTTCTGACGTAATATTTAATAATTATAATAATGATATTATCATATTTAATAATTTAATAATTAATAAGCCTATACCTCATAATCACATCATAAGAATCACTCGATCCCCTCTTAAAAAAGGCATGAAAAATCGATACTCGAATGTATCGAAAGTATTGTTGATGCTTTTCCGCGACGCTGATTGGTTATCGCGATTATTCTGATAGTTTGATAGATTGAGAGCGAAGGTTATTTTGATGGTTATTTAAAATTAAAAAATTTATTAAAATATTTAGATTTCATAATTATTAAATTACTATAGGTAATAAGTGCGCGCGCTACGCGCGCGCCTGTATTATTCTAGTTTATTTTAAATTTTATCTTTTATATTTATTTATTTATATTATACGGATAGAGTAAAATGCCCTAAACATTTTAAATTGTAAAATTTTAAATTCAGCAAAATTAATCTTATCTTAGACAACGAGTATACAAAATTAAGACACAAGAAATATAATAGTAATCCATTTATAGAAATTGAAATATAAAACGCAAGAAACAAAATAAATGTACGTTATCTCGTAATACACTAAAAAATTTTAAACGCGTTAAATATTCGAAACTTACCGATGCGCAAACTATACCATATTATTTTATATGTGTAAGTTTTATTCTTTTGCCGTAATGCCGGTAAGACTGTGCGATTCTTAATGATTATTACTCACGTAATCGTAATTATATTTTTGCGACTGAAAAAGGAGTTAAAGATTATTGAGAGAAGGAATCTCAAAAAGTATCGAGCGTCGATAAAGCAACTTCAAGATAATTTATCATTTATTTATTATTTGTTACTTGTGAAATTAAATGACATTTTTCATCGTTACTAATATAATGCGTAAAATTCCATATGTTTAAGATTTATGATTATTTCTAAAGCCAAAAAACAAATATTTGATTTCGAGATTTGAACTGTTCAAATTGCTCGACTGCCTGAAATTTTGGAGAACTGGTGAAGAGAAATAAACTGATAATCGTAAATCGTGCGTTTTACAAGTTGAAGGATACCAGTTGCTTCTGCCTTCGTATATCAACTAGAAATGGCAAGTACATAACCAGTTTGGGGGATGAAATCTTAGAATAACGACGTTCATCTAAAATCTTCGAGTAAATTATTTACGTAATGCTTGTGTGTAAAAATTATAATAAATTTTTTTATTAAACTCCAAAAATAAATTTACTAAAAGCATAACAATAGTAATATAAATTATATACAAACATATGATCATTAGATATCCAAGATAATAAAATAGTCTTTTTAAATTTATATAGAAACAGTTGCCTGAAAACTTCTTCATTCGTCAAAAAAATTCAGTTTTAATTAATGCAAAGATTAAAATATGGCGCACTTATTTATTGCAATCAAAGCGCGATGAGGACCGGTGGTGCTCTTAAATTATGGATTTGCCCTGCTTTCCGGCTGCCTACAATTAAGTGTTGCGAACCGTTCATGCAGTCATCCTCGTGAATAATTCCTTCCTTCTGTGAATAATTCATAAATCGCCACCAAACGGCTCCCAGTCAGAGGATAGCTGACAAAGAAAAAAGACGACTGCGATAGAAAAAAGTTACAAACGGGAGTTATCTTTCTTCTATCTCAAAGATGAACGGAAGCGAGGTAGCTGGTTCAAAGAACGTCTACTGCGGAAAAATGCGATTAATAAGGTGGAGTAAAGGCAAGGATAACGTAATTAGCCCGTGGCGAATTAGATCGAGCTCGAGGTATCATACCAGAAAAATCGTCGTAAAAATTGTCGGAAAAACGCGTGCAGTTTCTAGACGATGTATGTGAAGTTCGACAATCTAATACTTCGGAAAAATAACAAAAATTTGGAAACAAAATTTATAGACAAGGTAAAAGGAGTATAAAGTAAAAATTGAAAGAAATTTGCTGCCGTACAGAACAGAATTTATGTAGTGTCACTTCGCATCTCGATTGCGACTGGCTTGTCTTATCCTTTTTGAAGCAAAGCGCACGCTAGACAGATACTACACATAAATTTATATTAGTATGGCAAGAAATGCACAGACTTGGAAAATTCGTTTGATTTATTCGCCGTTTGCATGGCATCGATATTCGGCTTATGCAGTGGAAATATCGGCATCACTTTTTCTAGGTCGCCGGATGGAAGCGAGGGGCATAAATCCACGTTATGCATGTATATTATATTATATTATATACAAATATATATGTGTGTGTGTGTGTGTGTGTGACTGGTAGATTATACGGTAGATCACCAATGAAAGGATAACTCACGCCCACTCTCGTACGCGATCCATCCTTTCTTTATTAAAATTCTTTAACCAAGGGAAGTCGGATCCATGGAATTCAAATTGAAATCGCGACCTTTGGATTCGCTGTCTTCGCGAATCCGCGTTACGAGAGCCTGTCGGTATTTCTGCACGTGGCGTTCATACGTACCAGTGACGATAGACATCATACAAGGGACATAAAATATTAAGCAATAATAAAAATAAATAACGATAAAATAACGATAAGTAAAATAATATAATAATAACGATTAGTAAAATAACTATTAGTAATTAGAACACAAATTTAGTACAATATTGTAATTCAATTTAAAAAAACGACAACAAATATAATTAATCAATCACAACAAAATGTATGACAAAAATAATATCAGCTAGAATATAGTATTGATTAAAATAAATAAAATTCATATTTTTAGGTTCTCATTGCGAATAAAACAAAGATAAGAGCATTATTAATTATTGTATGCTAGCTAATAATTCTACTCTAAATAAATATTCGTCGTAAATATATTTTTCTAAATTCACTATGTTTAATATGACAATCATAACTAGATACGATTGACGAGTTCGAAACTACATATATAAATGTAATCGTCAAGTGTATTCAACACTATTGACATATCGCGGATACGTTCAAGGCGGCCTTC